TCTCCTAGCCTGGAGACAAAACTTGTCCCACAGGAGATCAGAAAGCCAGAAGGAGCCTTGCTTGGTGGCACAGGCCTATAAGTCCCAGGACTCAGGAGGTTGAGGCTGGAGGATTGTGAGTTTAGGTCAGCCTGGGCTACATGGGAGTCCCTGGACAGCCAGAGTAACACAGCAAGATCCCATCTTAAAAATATATAAAAAAGCCAGAAAAAGAATTGGTGGGAAGGGCCAGTCTAGCAGCCCCCAACACACACACACACACACACACACACACACACACACACACACACACACACACTCTCAGAGTTTCTTCCCACCAACATACTGTTCCTGCCTCTGATTCAAGATGTGGTTCTAGGCGGTGGGCTCACCACTGACATGCTCTACCTTCTATTTTCCGTTTGGTGTTCTGTCTTGTATTCTGCAGCCCTGGGAACTTGTTTTCTGGCCACATCATTGACCTTGAATTGTTTCTTTGGCTGTTTCCTTGGGCTGTCTGGACAGGATCTCCCTTCAACATCCATCCTCAGGGCTCCACATCTGGAGGCGGGAAAACCTCCCCCTACAGCGTGGCCTGGCTCTCAGAAGCCCAGGGCTACCCATTGTCATTCCCCCTTCCCTCTCCCCACCCCTTCCTCCCGCCTCCAGCCCTCCCCTTTCCTTCCTCCGCCCCTTTCCCACCACTTTCTCTTTCCCTCATGCCGTCCATTTGCACGTCAGGACTCACTCTTTGCTAGGTAAGACATGAAGGACCCTTCTGAGTCAGGAGACACCCGGCTCTCTGCTGTTTCTGGTGGCACATGCTCATGAAGGGTAACCCCCTCTGAGGTGTCTCATGGCAGATTGGTCTGTCTCTGGCTTCTGCTTACCAGACACTGTTGTTTCTTTGTTTCCTTTTTGACGTCCATCCTTCCTTACATTCCTGCCACCGTGAGCTAACTGCCCTCTGGGAATTATTTTAAAAAGCGGCCTCTCTGCTAGCTAGTTGTCCTGTGACTGGTGGGCTTTGTTCAGGTGGTCAAAAAATCAGGAGACAGTTTTCCCCTTTGCTGGTACATAATGGGGTGTCTATGGTGGGTATTACAGGACCAGTCTGCAAAAGCCAGGGACAAGTTTTGTGGGTATCGAAAGCACGGGAAAGAGAAGCAGAGAGTTAACAGCCCTCCCAGTGACACTGGAGGAATGAAGGATGTTGCTTAAGTTCCTTTCCCAGCCTTCTAAAGCAGGCTGACTCACCAGGGGAGAAAGAGAAAGAGGCCTTTCCCTGTTCTCTCAGACTTGTGGTTATCTTCAAGAGAAGTTTCCACTCTGGGCTTCAGCATTTCTCACAGGCCTCTCAGGGAAACCAGCTTCACAGCCTTAGGCCTGACAGCTGCTGCTGCTGCGGCAGTTCCTGCCCCCGTTTCCTTTCCTTTAATTGATTTATTTAGCCAGTTAGTTATACTTAAAAATTCTTTTTTTTTACTGTCACAATATAACATTTTAAAGAATTTAAATTTTTTTTGAGATTATAATTTAATTACAAACCTTTCCATATACTTTTCCCTACTCTCCTTCAAATTTATGACCTTTTTTCCTCTAACTATTATTGCATGCATATATGTATTTGTATATACATATGTATTCCTAGATATAACCTGTTCAGACCATATAATGTTGCTTGTATGTATGTTTTAGGGCTGACCATTTGTCACTTAACAACAGATTGGTGTGCTCTGCCCCAGGGAACACCACCTCTCCCACTCCCAGCTTCCCTCAGTTGCCTGTAATTCTTTGTGCAGAGCTGAGGACCCATAGGCTTTTCTCCATCCAGTTCGGAGTGTTTGCTGGTGCCCTCCTGGTTCAGCTCACATTTGGGCCATCCTGTTGGTGAGACTTTATGGGTGTAGCTGCTGATATTCCTAGGAGACAAACTCTCATAGAAAACTTCCTAATCCTCTGGCTCGTACAGAATTTCTGCCTCCTCTTCCAAAATGTTTCCTGAGTCTTCGATGTGGGGCTGTTTTGTAGATGTGTGCATTGGGACTGGCCTCCAGAACTTGGCGTTTTTATTAGTTGTGACTTTCTATAGTGGTCTCCGTCTGTTGCGAAAAGTTTTCCTGATGAAGGATGAGGAGGAGGATGCTTATCTGTGGGTACAAGGACAAATGTTTATGAACTATTGGTTGGGATTTTGCTGGTTTTAATAAATTAGTAGTTGTAAATTCTCTTCCAGTAACCATGATTTCACTAGTGCGGAGCAGTTAGCAAGGATTCCAGTACCAGGCATTGTTCCTCATTGCCGAGCAGGTCTTAAGTCCAACTAGAGAGCTGTTGGTTACCACCAATGTGCCGCCACTGCACCCTCAGGGTTCTTGTGCCATGCTGGGCGTCGATTTGACTCCTAGGCATCACAGCTGGTAAGATTATGGGTTGTCTCCCTCCTTCGGAAGCTTGCACAGGGCCTTCTGGTATCATGACAGCTGGTCCTGAGGGAGGGATGTTCAGGTCAGTTCCAGCTCAGGGGTCTCTCGACCCGGTTTCTGAAGTAGATTGTGTCTTCAGCAATTGGGACTTACCTTCCACCTCTGGGGAAGGAGGGTGGTAACCATGGACAACAGCAATAGGTTGTATGTTTTGGGAGTCTCTTAGATAGCTAAGCCCAACAAATCAAAAGAGGGCTTCTAATGTCTGGTATTGAGGTCTTGTTAGGTGATCTTTGGCTGTTTGAGGAAGCATTGCCAGCCGGGATGAGGACATTTCATTAAAACTATATACGTATGTTTATACACAGAATTACATGTATTATAGGTGTTTTTTCATACGCAGTTAATAGTATGATTCCTTGTGGTGTTTTCATACACCCTTATTGCCGTTTACCACCTCCTCCTCTTGCACGTACCTCCTCCTTTCCTAAGGAGCCCCCACAGTCCCCAAAGCAAGATTAAAGTACAGGTGGGACCTTAGATGTGACAAAGAGACGTGGCGCCCAATGACTGACAGTGGAGAAACATGGCCTTAAAAGAGGAAAACAGCAGAGAATACTATAAGATTCTATCACCATTTTCAGTCATTCATGGTTCAGTCCAGGGGCATTCAATGTTGATTGATTGATTGTCTAGATGCATACGTACCCATGTGATGCGGGCCAGAGGTTAATGTTGTCTTCTTCAGGTGCTGACTACTTTTTTTTTTTTTTTTAATTTGGAGATTGTGTCTCACTGAACCTGTAGCTATGGAATCCAGCAGCCTGACTGGCCAGGGAGCCCTCAGGATCCTCCCGTCCGACTCCTCAGTGCTGGGATTCCAGGCACTTGCCTCCGTCTCTGGCGCTTTCAAATGGGTGCTGAGGGGATCCTTATGCATACACAGGGAGCACTTTACTGCCTGAGCTGGCTTCCCAGCACCCTCAAATACCCTTTAAAAACAAAAACAAGTCCGGGCATACTTTTAATCAATCCTGGCGGTCAGAGCTATATAGGGAGACCCTGTCTCAACAAACAAAAAACAAACAAGACTGAATGTAGGAAATGAACATGAATGATGAAAGGGGTATAAAGCTAATTGTTTATCTAATTCTAACTCTGTCATAGGGTTTTCATTTGGGGTGGTGAATAAGTATTTGATTACAGAAGAGCAATACCCAATGTGAAGTTCCATAGCTTTCTTTCCAAATGGCTGTTTTAACTGTACAGAAGTTCATTGAAATGTATAGTCTTAGGATCTGGTTAACTTCAGCATGTTATTTTTTTCAGTGTTTTTTATAATAAAGTTGAAATGTAAAAAAGAGACTCTCCTTGTGTGGAAGGGTTCCTTTGGGCTTTACAACTGGCAGGGAAACGATCTGCAAAAATACAAGAATGAAACTCAGAACAGCCTGATTTTGGTGCTGGTGCTGGGCAAGAAGCTCTGGAGTCTGACACCAGATCCTTTACTTTAGCCGTATTTAAGCACAGCACAGTTTGGGGAAAAAGTTTTCTGGTAACAATTAACTCAGCCCTGTGAGTACAACAAGCTCAAGACATGTTTATATTGAAGCTCTTTACGAAGTGCGTTGGCGTCATCTGTAAGATGGGTTCTTGTTGACTTAGGAACAATGCTCAAGACCTAACAATGGGTCCAGGGAGAATGGCTGAGGTAGATATAATGGCTGGCCCTAGGATACCATAGAAGTCACTTAGGCTGTTGTAAAGTACAAACGGCATCTCTCACAAGAATGAGTTGTATGGCCTGGAAGTCATGCTCAAGGTTTTAGAGGGAACGGATCTGGGGTAAGTCAAACAGAAATTCTGGGAGATATGGGCAGAGCCTGCCTCATCAGACAGCAGAGGATCACCAGGTTGTAAGCTACATCCGTTCCCTGCATCCCAGGGGGAACAGGTGAAACATCTCTTGCCCTGGAAGGAAGCCTGCGAGTTTAACTTTCCTGGCTTCTCCTGTGCTTACTGTGTGCACAAGCATTTTTTGCCATCTCTATCTTCGTTAGCTTTTCAGATTCCAGAAAGACAGTGAGGGCCTAAGGGAAGAAGGCCACGTCAGAGTATTTTATCCTCCTTCAAAGGATGATGCCTGAGACTCAGTATGACTAACCATTTGCATTTGGCGTCGTCAGCTGGATGCCTTTTGGGAGTCACTCACTGAAGTCCTGAAGTGGGTCCTGGTGGCCACCTTTCTTCCCTCTTTCTCACTCTCTCCTCCCTGGCCTCCATGAGGAGACAGGGCTGCTCTGCCATGCCTTCCCCAGAGCGAAGGACTGAAACCAAGAGGAGACTAGCTCTTCTCTCCTCGACATTGTTCTCTTGCTGCCGTGACAGAAAGGCTAATACAGTTAGTGGTGTGGAATCCCGCCAACAGCAGTGAATTGTGATTGTTGCTGTTGTTCAGCACGTTCCCCGATAAAGTTCTTTGGCATGACACCCTCCTGTTGGAGGCAGAGTAACGCAAGGGGCAATGGGAGATGGGAGAGAGGGTGAATCCTTTGGTGACATTTGCTTTCTTGACGACGTCCTTTATCCCTTCAGGGTCAGCAATGAAAGGCAGGATCCTGGACGGTGGCCCTGAATCCTGATTGCCTGTCTGTCCGGGAGACACATGTGGTCAAAGATGAATTTGAGAAAAGTAGCTGCTGGCTTCTGGAACTATGGAAAAGCAGGGCCATCATGAGATGGAAGCCATCCCCTTGGGCTGTCACTCCTACATTAAACTGTTGAAGATCAACAGGGAACATCTGGTCACCAACATCCGTAACACTCAGTGTCTGCTGGACAACTTGAGGAAGAATGGCTACTTCTCAGCTGAAGATGCAGAGATCGTGTGTGCTTGTCCCACCAAGCCTGACAAGGTGCAGTGAGGGACGCTGGTGCTGACAGTTACTGACCTGGGTTCCCCCCTTCTGACCCAGGCGAAGGGAGAATTCGGAATATTGGACCGAGTTTCCCACTGGGGTCTTTGTTTTTGTTGTTGCTATAATCCACCCCCCCCCCCCAGCTTCTGTAGCACAGGGAGTATTGATTACAGGTGTGCATTCACACTGGGGTCTTTGGGTTGTTTTCAGACTTGTGCCTCATCTTAATACAGAAAAGATTGATTATAGAGGTGCACTCACACTGGGGTCTTGGTAGAACATAAATAAATGCCCCAAGTTTGAGCTTCCTGCCCAGTCAGCTTACTTCTGTTTGAGGCTGGAACAAACCCTTCCATGTCAGCTCCCCCTGCTGTGTGTATTGATACCTAGGCAACTTTAAGGGGGCTTTAAATGAGTAGGTGAGGAAGAGCATGACACCCAATGCCTCCACACCCCAAGGGCACAGAGGCAAAGACTCGGGGTAACCACCCACAAAGCCAGATTTAGAAATGACTGCCTCCCAAGGTGGGACCCCACTGAAGACTTTCCCACGCTATGAATGAGGAAGTAAAACAACCCTCGGTTTCCTAAGCTTGGGAGCATCATCTGAGAAATAAAACAGAGTCCCGTAAGTCCCTGGATAGAAAAATGAAGCGCCTATTTGAGGTAGGGAGGGGCTAAGCGACACCCAAAGAACTTCTGGGGGGGCACAGCACACTGATATCCTTCGGTTTCCTCTCTTGACCACCACCACCCCTTTCCTGGCTTTTTGAGACAGAATCCCCCACTGCAGTCTAGGTAGAGCTGAAACTCTGATCCTCCTGCCTCAATCTCCCAAGCTCTGGGACTTAGGTGTGTGCCACGATGTACAGCTCCTGATTGCTTTGCCTGCGTTTTTAATGAAAAGACCATTTTGAACATGTGATTTGATGGGAGTCTGTTACTCTACTGCAGAGTAGCTCAGATATGCTACTTCCTCTTGTCTATAGGGTGACTACCTCCTAGCATACTTGTCCCTGGATGGTAGTGACATGAGATTAGGAGGGAAAGCCAGAGACGCTTCCTGGGCTCTTATTGCCTTGGGGGATGAACTCTTGTTAAAGAGGCCCACTTTGCAGATTCTGTGCTGACTCTTATACTGGGTATGTATGCAGGTGGTCAGGTTATTGCTACTGTACTAGCACCGGCAGCCCTGAGCTGAGTGTACCCCGGGATCCTTTTGACAGGAGGATGCCCCTCACACCAGCTCATGCTCTTAATGTTTGTGCCATCCATAGGTCCGAAAAATTCTTGACCTGGTGCAGAGCAAAGGTGAAGAGGTGTCCGAGTTCTTCCTCTACGTGCTCCAGCAGCTCGAGGACGCTTATGTGGACCTCAGGCTGTGGCTATCAGAGATTGGCTTCTCGCCTTCCCAGCTCATTCGGAGCAAAACCATCGTCAATACTGACCCGGGTAGGAGTCAGCCCACGAGGGACTACAGGCAGGGGTGTGAGGGAAGGCACTGGGCTCACCCTTGGGGCTTACCCGGAGCATCTATGACTCAAGGTGCTCACCCTGGGAGCCCGAGGTTACACTGTTTTAGCTCAGCATATTTTGTTGTGATGTTTGAGGCCAGACACAGATCCTCTGCAAATCAGATTAATGTCCAGCCTTGTATTTTCTAACCAAAAGCTTTGTCATACAGTTTTGTCAGATCCTTATTAAAGAACCAAAGAAAGGCTGGGATAATTTCCCCCTATACAAGACTTTCAGTGGGGACTGACTCTGCTATTGAAACAGGCCTGTGGCCTGCGGTGGGGCAGCAGAGCTGGCTGGCCTGGTCCTCAAGTGTGAGTGGCTTCTGTCTCTAGAGTTCAATGACAACATTGTGCAGAGGAACAAGGGAGGCCTGTCCCAGACACTTGACCTGGAGGGGCCTGCAGCCCTCCAGCTGGCTAAACCTGAAGCCGAGCAGAGGGAGGGAAGGCCTGACCCTCAAGCTCTGGGACATTGGGTCTTTGAGGCCCTGGGGGCTTCTGTTAAAGGAGTAAATGCCTTGGCTCAGAGTCTGGGCTGTGGGTTTGTTTGCTTGTGTGCTTGCCTCTCTGTCCCAAGATGCCCTGTTTAACGCATCTACTCGTATCCCCTCACCTGGTTGCTGGGAAACACTCCTCCCCGCTCCAGTGAGCAGGTACACCCAGCAGCTGCGACACCAACTGGGCCGCGACTCCAAGTTCATGATGTGCTACGCCCAAAAAGAGGACCTGCTGCTGGAGGAGACCTACATGGACACACTCATGGAGCTAGTGGGCTTCAACAACGAAAACCTGGGCAGCCTGGGAGGCCTGGACTGCCTGCTGGACCACAGCACCGGCATCCTCAATGAGCATGGCGAGACTGTCTTCGTGTTTGGGGACGCGGGAGTGGGCAAGTCCATGCTGCTGCAGCGACTGCAGAGCCTCTGGGCGTCGGGCAGGCTGGCCTCCACAGCCAAGTTCTTCTTCCACTTCCGCTGCCGCATGTTCAGCTGCTTCAAGGAGAGCGACACGCTGAGTCTGCAGGACCTGCTCTTCAAGCACTTCTGCTATCCGGAGCAGGACCCCGAGGAGGTGTTCTCCTTCCTGCTACGCTTTCCCCACACGGCGCTCTTCACTTTCGACGGCTTGGATGAGCTGCACTCGGACTTCGACCTGAGCCGTGTGCCGGACAGCTGCTGCCCCTGGGAGCCGGCACACCCGCTGGTCTTACTGGCCAACCTCCTAAGCGGGAGGCTGCTCAAGGGCGCGGGCAAGCTGCTCACTGCCCGTACAGGCGTGGAGGTCCCCCGCCAGCTTCTGCGCAAAAAGGTGTTGCTCCGGGGCTTCTCCCCCGGCCACCTGCGCGCCTATGCCCGCAGGATGTTCCCCGAGCGCATAGCTCATGAGCATCTGCTGCAGCAGCTGGATGCCAACCCCAACCTCTGCAGCCTGTGCGCCGTGCCGCTCTTCTGCTGGATCATCTTCCGCTGCTTTCAGCATTTCCACACAGCCTTCGAGGGCTCCTCCCAGCTACCAGACTGTGCCGTGACCCTAACCGATGTCTTCCTGTTAGTCACTGAGGTGCATCTGAACAGGACGCAGCCCAGCAGCCTGGTGCAGCGCAATACCCGCAGCCCGGCAGAGACACTGCGCGCAGGCTGGCGCACGCTGCACGCGCTGGGCCAGGTGGCGCACCGAGGCACCGACAAGAGCCTCTTTGTGTTTGGCCACGAGGAGGTGCAGGCATCTAAGCTGCAGGAGGGGGATCTGCAGCTGGGCTTCCTGCGGCCTCTGCCCGACGTGGGCCCTGAGCAGGGCCAGCAGTCCTATGAGTTTTTCCATCTCACGCTCCAGGCTTTCTTCACTGCCTTCTTCCTGGTGGCAGATGACAAAGTGGGCACCCGGGAGTTGTTGAGGTTCTTTCGAGAGTGGACGTCTCCTGGGGAGACATCAAGCACGTCCTGCTATCCGTCCTTCTTCTCCTTTCAGTGCCTGGGTGGCGGAAGCCGGTTGGGCCCCGATCCTTTCAGGAACAAAGACCACTTCCAGTTCACCAACCTCTTTCTGTGCGGGCTGCTGGCCAAAGCCAGACAGAAACTCCTTCGGCAGCTGGTGCCCAAGGCTACCCTGAGGAGGAAGCGCAAGGCCCTGTGGGCTCACCTGTTCGCCAGCCTGCGCTCCTACCTAAAGAGTCTGCCCCGGGTCCAGAGCGGAGGCTTTAATCAGGTGCACGCCATGCCCACATTCCTGTGGATGCTGCGCTGCATCTACGAGACACAGAGCCAGAAGGTGGGACGCCTAGCCGCCAGGGGCATCAGTGCCGACTACCTCAAGCTGGCCTTCTGCAACGCTTGCTCTGCCGACTGCAGCGCCCTGTCCTTCGTCCTGCACCATTTCCACAGGCAGCTGGCCCTAGATCTGGACAACAACAACCTCAATGACTATGGAGTGCAGGAGCTGCAGCCTTGCTTCAGCCGCCTCACGGTTATCAGGTGAGGCTGCCAGCTGAACTGGGTGAGGGGGACAGACAGACAGGCTTGGGGCCACAGGACTGGTAACAGGGGTCAGGATTCTTGGTTCGCCCATTACACAGGGACTCAACCTTTCTGTCTGGGGGTGTGGTAGGGGAGGCATGGAGTAAAGTGAGTCAGTCAGGTGACCAGTTCAGCTTCAGCTGGGTGTTTTATAACTAACTGTGTAATCTTGGGGAGCCCCGGGGGCAGGGCGGAGAGCTGTTATTGTCCGAGCATGGCCAAGCCAACAGCAGTGTGTACTGAAAGTGAGTGAAATGCATTAGGGTTGTAGCCCAGCCTAATGCTCTTTCTCCCATAAGGCAGGGGCTGCTATTGCCTTAGAACAATAGTGCGCATTTAGTTAGGCAAAGAGGAAGGGAGGCACAGAGAAGTTAATGAATTGCTGCAGGCCCCACAGCTGAGATGTGGTGTGACCAGAAGGGGAAGACCAGCCCTTGAAGATAAGTCTGAGGCTCAGAAATTCTGCCACAGTTTGGCTCACTCAGTTCTGCAGAACAGTGGGGATTTGGAGCGCAATCTCAGGCCTGGGAATCAGAGTGAAAATCGTATGTGGACTTGGGGTATATGAAGCTGAAGGTGGCAGCCTAGAACCAAAGGCCAGCATCTGTCCTCTGGGCTGTAAGTCGGCCACTCTCCTTGGCGATCTCCACCCGGCATTGCTCAGTGCCCGTTCTGTAAGTGGGAACTGAGCAGCAGAGGGGGATCCTGCCCTGTCTGGCTGTTCCCCACCCCAGCAAAGGAAAAGGCAGCTTGTAGGAAAGCAGGGCTTATGGGCGACCTGATGGAAGTACCTTGAGTTCCTTGAGGACATCAGGTAGGATTAATTGCAGTAAAGAGTTTGAGAAAACATCAGATTTGGGAAGTTTACATATGTTATATCTCTCTGGAGCAAAGCCTAGGAGTAGACAATTAAAGAATGATACGTTGTCTGTCTGATCAGAACCCAGGCTCTCTTTTGTTTTACCTGGCTTCTACATCCTGACCCAATATGGTTGCCCAAGATAGCTCCAGACAACTCCTTAGTATTGTAGCCAGAAGCAATCAAAAGAAGGACATGTCCTATTTTTTTTTAATGTTTTTCTTCAATTAAGGTTTGAACTGGAGGCATCATACATGCCACACAAGCACTCTACTATTGAATACCCCTAACAGTTTGGTGTTTTTTTTTTTTTTTTTTTTTTTTGGTTTTTTGAGACAGGGTTTCTCTGTGTAGCTTTGTGACTTTCCTGGGACTCACTTGGTAGCCCAGGCTGGCCTCGAACTCACAGAGATCCACCTGCCTCTGCCTCCTGAGTGCTGGGATTAAAGGCGTGCGCCACCACCGCCCAGCAAGATTTATTTATTACATATACAGTGTTCTGCCTGCATGTATCCCTGCAGGCCAGATGAGGGCACCAGATGTCATTACAGATGGTTGTGAGCCACCATGTGGTTGCTAGGAATTGAACTCAGGACCTCTGGAAGAGCAGTCAGTGCTCTTAACCCCTGAGCCATCTCTCCAGCCCCCCCTAACAGTTTTAAAAAGCTATTGCCAACGATACAACTTCTTAGATTTCTTTAGGCAGGACTGAATTGGATGTGCCAAGCTGGAAAAGAGGAGGGGAGAACAGGGGATTGTATTGCTAGGAACACACGGATACCGGAAGCTCCTGCCATGTCGGGATTGAATGAAAAAATGAAAAAGGGAGGCCATGGCTGCTCCCAGGTATGGTAGAGAAGAAGGTTTATTGTAGATGTGAGGGAAAGCATAGCCCGAGGCAGAAACGTCTGGGAGAGTCCAGAGTGGACATGAGCAGCAGATCAAGCCAGGCCATGTGAGGAGGGAGGTGAGGAGAGCCAGGAGACCAAGAGGCCAGAAGGACAACATTGGTGAAAACATACTGGCATAGCCAAAATGGCCAAATTATATAGGGAAGAACAGCTAGGGGAAGAGCTGGAAAGTTCAGGGCAGGGGCAGGGTAAGCCAGCCAGGAGGACCCTGTAACAGGTAGGGACTGAGGGATGCTGGGAGGACCTGGCAGCCAGGGTTCACTTTGATATGTTAATAGGCATCTCGGCCATGGGTCCCGGGTTTGAGACCTAACAAGGATGGCTGTGCAGTGTGTACCTTGTGCTTGCATCCAGTCTGATACTGTAGGAGACGGGTCCTGAGAGGCTGCCCTTATCTTTTTGATGTGGCTTAACAAAACGAAGCTTTTTCTGTTCTCTTTTGAATTGCCATGGATGTCACCTTTGGGGTCAAGCCTAGTCCTGTGGCTTGTGCTTGTAAATACAGCTTTATTGGAGAGCAGCCACCCCTGTCATCTACTTCTCGGTTGTTCCACACTGTATGGTTGAGCAGCTATGCTTGGCCCGGCACAGCCTTCTCCATGTTCCAGCTGGTCTTAGCGTAGAAAGTCTGCTCACTGCACCCCCCCCCCCCCCGCCCCCCCGCGCCTCAATCTGGTCCCCTCTTGGGAGTCCTGCTCTGACCTTGTCTCTCAACTGCTTCCTTTCTTCAAGGTCAAGGTAGCTTGTTACAGGATTGCTTGGGGTGGAAAGAGAAAGAGGAAAGGGGGAGAGGGGGAGGGGAGAAAAGAAGGCTCTTGGTAGCTCAGTGGCACACTTGCCTAGCATGCTGCAAGCCCCGGGTTCTATCCCTGGAGATTTGTATGCATTATTTATCCAATAGATATATTCACGCATGCACATTTTGCTCATGAGAAGCTAGCTTTCTGCTGGTTCAGAAATTTTCCTGGAGAATTTTTCAGTCTGTGGCTGACCCTTGACCAACAGGGAACCAGTCCCAGAAGCCCCACTTTCCTGTTCTTCTGTATGCCTGTTCCCAGCCTGGCCTGCACAGGCAGCGTTTGCATTGGGAGAAGCTGGAGAGCGTTGCTGCCAAGTCCCACCCTTTCCCAGAAAGCTACTGGTTTCTCTTGAGATTTCCAACACAGAGCTGCTTCAAAAGAGCAATTTCCGTGGGTAGCAGGATGCCAGGCCTCGTCCTGCATTTGAGGTGGGTCCGTTCTAGTGGGGACTGTCCTGTCCCGTATTTTGCAAGTTATCTCATGTCCTGACTCCACTCTTAGAATGCAAGGATACCCCCAGTGGCAGTGATCCCTAAAGGCGGTCCCTTACATTTCAGACCCCATGACCCCTCTGTGCACAAAGGATGGAGAAGCCAAATGCAGGATGTTGGAGAGAGCTGGAAGTAGCTGGCTGTGGGTACCCTTCTTAGTCTCTGTGACCCTTCTGCTTCAGGGCTCGACTGCAGCCCTGTTGCTGGCCCTGGCCTATAGGCAGCTGAATTCTGAGGCTGACTACTCCCTTGGAAGTTCCTCTGCCCTGACTGGCAGTTGTTTTTTGCTGTTGTGTTTTAGACTCAGTGTCAATCAGATCACGGACACAGGGGCGAAGGTGTTGTGTGAAGGACTGACCAAGTACAGAATCGTGACATTCCTGGGGTAAGTCTTGCTTGAGGACATTGGGCCTGTGACCTTGTCATAGTTCTGAGTAGCAGAAAATCGACAGCCATGTGGTCCACTGGTGACAGAAACCATGGCTGGTGCTGGCATCCTCCAGCCACAGCCTCCCACATGCTGATGTTACAGGCATGCACCACCACACGTGGCTCCGGGTTCTGGTCTAGGCTCAACTGGTATCTAGGTAGAACTGGAGCTATTCACAAACACTTGTGGGGCCCCAGCTTCCTTACCGTAAAAACTGGACCCCATCCAGGCAAGCTATTTTGGAGAATATGAAGAGAAAGGATGTGGGGATAGGTTTGGTAGATGTTAAAATACCTGTTAATACATTAGACTTGACTACTTTGGGTCTACTCCTAGGTCCAGGGCAGGGGCATATATGTGTTGAATAGTAGTGACACAGCCAGAGGGGTCCTAGGTAGTACCCTCCTCAAATACTTCAATAGCGCTGCAGAAAAATAAATGAATACTCAAACCAGGTAGGCTTAAGTAAAGACCACTCATAGACCCAAATCGATTGTTAAATCAGTTACAAAGAGCTTCGAGTTTTGGAGTTTGAGGTGAGGGCGAGTGGTCCCATGACTGCTGCTGATCTTGTCACTGGAGCAGTTGCTGAGTACTCTTGGACCTCTGGAACATGAGGACACATAAGCAAAAGGTCCCATGCTCCTCTCTGTTATGTATGATGAGTGATAGTGGAGAGAAGCCTCGCTGTGTTTCTGGTCTTATTTTTCAATCAGAATGGTTGAAAAAAAGATGGACACAGGCTTTACTCTTCAGAAAACCTGAATCACCACCACCTGCACTTACTGAGCATCGTGTGGCAGGGCTGTGCATGATGGCATATACTCCCTGTGACTATGGGAGGAGAGGTGTTTGGATTCAGCACCAAAGGGAAGTAAGGGAGCTGGCTTTGGAGCCAGGCTGATGCAGAGCCCACACTGTGGTCTCTGTGAGTTCCCCTTTCAACTTAGACAGTGGAAATCAGCAGGCAGCATGGACTCACTAGAGGAGGAGGTGATCGTGTGACACTGTGACTCACAAAGACCCCTGGCTGTGCTTTCTCTCCAAGCTTGTACAACAACCAGATCACTGATATTGGAGCCAGGTATGTGGCCCAAATCCTGGATGAATGCAGAAGCCTCACGCACCTTAAGTAAGTAAGTGGGGAAGGGGCAGCAACTCCTTAGAAGTTTGTTTTCTCTACAAATATCTGGATCACCTTTTCTGTTACTAGAAGAAGCAGTGTCACCACAAAGAGATCTCACTCTAACATATCTGCCAGCCCCACGGCCATACTGGTCCAACTGGCCAGGTGTGCTCATCTTGTGGAGGGAATATGCCCCCGTGTGGGGCGTCAGCACTTTAGTCTCCCTAACTACTGGCTGGAAGGGAGGGTTGTATCTATTGTCCTTTTGGGGATACCAGAGAAAGATCCTCTTTCTTTGGTAGGTTCCAGGGAGCTTGACCCTTGGCGCTATCAAAGATGTGCCCCTTCAGGCTGTTGGTCATCCAGTCCTGGTAATGAAAACACCCATCTTAACCATTGTCAATAAATATGGGCATTCTCGAACCTGTTAAAAATGAGTGATGGTCACTTAGAGAACCCCAGGAAAGGCTCCAATGGTTGACCACCAGCAGAGATCGTGGGTTACCTCCTAGGGAGGACACTGGGGGCTGGTCTGTGGGAGACCAGCTGGGAGACCAGCTCCCACATTTCACCCCAGGGTACTCTTGAGGAGTGGGGGATAAGAGATTCAGACAGAGGGATAGAGGGGAGAGAAATAGACAGAAACACAGGAGATCTCTGTGAGTTTGAGGCCAGGGAGGGCCTGGATCCTTATCCACCAGCTCCTCCTGACTCTTCTAAAGAGCTATTTATAGAAAAGCCAAGGAGTGGAGCAAAAGACCTTCCCCTAGTCAAGTGTAGACCCTTCCAATCACCTGGTAACCACGCACATGGTCAAGTAATCTTCTAATGCAGCTCTGCTGGGTAAAGCAAGCTCAGATCTCACTAGGAAACCTTTGTGGGCCTCCACACTGGTCCCGGGCTGTGGGTCCCTCCCTGAGAGGAAGCCCCCAGCATGGATATATGTGTGCCAGATACAAGATCACACTGGCGAGAAGGCCTAGTGTGGGCTCAGTGCTGGGAAGGAGGGTGGCCTACTATGGAGTCCGTAAACAGAGGCTAACCAATCATGCATCCCTCTCTCTGCAGACTGGGGAAAAACAGAATAACAAGTGAGGGTGGGAAGTGTGTGGCTCTGGCTGTGAAGAACAGCACCTCCATCATTGATGTTGGGTGAGTAGAAGGGACACCCCCCCCCCCACACACACACACAGGGTTTATACAGCCTGCTGTCTGTGTGGGCATTGGCTGCTCCTCTGGACATCAGTGTGCCAGAAGGACCCTGGGGCTGGCAGCACAGACACTCTGATGGCTTCTGCATGGAAAATGGGTGGGAGGTCCCAGAGGCAGTGACAATTGGGAATATACAAACTTTTAATTACTTATTTAGAAGTCAGTGTCATTGTGACTGGGACACAGGAGCCTAGCTGTGTGTGTTCACTGCGGCCAGAGGTTGGTCTTGGTTTTAAGAATTTATTATCCGCTGGGCGGTAGTGGCACATGCCTTTAATTTCAGCACTCGGGAGGCAGAGGTAGGCTTGAGGCCAGCCTAGTGTACAGAGTGAGATCTAGGACAGGCACCAAAACGACACAGAGAAACTCTGTCTTGAAAAACAAACAAACAAAAATTTACTATACTCTGGTTAGCTTTGTTTTTGTTATTATATTAAAAATTGTGATAAAATGCCCACATAAACATGTTTAATTATGTAATTTAGTGGCATTAAGTGCATTCATGTAAGACAGCCATAACATCATCTTTCTCCAAAGTGCTTCTTGGCCTTGGCTGTCCATTCCTAGGCATCCAAATCCAAAGTGAGTACATCGCAGGTTTTTGTTGTTGTTGTTGTTGTTGTTGTGTGTGTGTGTGTGTGTGTGTGTGTGTGTGTGTGTGTGTGTGTTGGCTTATTTCACTTAACATGACAACAAGGGTCATTGTGCCTTGTGTCATTCCTGTTGTCGCATGGGAGAGTTCCCTTCCTTTCAGGCTGACTGTTCCCTCGATATCTGCACTTCATTTTGCTCCTTGATTTCTCTGTCACTGGACACACAGGTTGTGAACACTGTGGATGGCCTTAGGTACACAGACATCCCTGCTCGATCCTGCTGGTTAAACGGCCCCACTGGGGTTGCAGTGGAATGTCAATTCTATGTTTGATTTCTTTCTTTCTTTCTTTCTTTCTTTCTTTCTTTCTTTCTTTCTTTCTTTCTTTCTTTCTTTCTTTCTTCCTTTCTTCCTTCCTTCCTTTCTTTCTTTCTTTTTGGTTTTTTTGAGACAGGGTTTCTCTGAGTAGCTTTGCGCCTTTCCTGGAACTCACTCTGTAGCCCAGGCTGGCCTCAAACTCACAGAGATCTTCCTGCCTCTGCCTCCCGAGTCCTGGGATTAAAGGCATACTATTTTTGATTTCTTTGTTCATTATGTTTTTTAATTTAAAATTTTATGTTTATGGGTCTTTTACCTGCATGTATGTCTGTGTACCACTTACAGGCTTAGTGTCACTAAGGCCAGAGAGGGCATCTGACCCCCAGAAACTGACATTATAGATAATTGTGAGCTGTCCTATGGGTGCTGGGATTCAAACCCAGGTCCTCTTATCCTCAGAGCCAGCCCTCTATTCCTTATGTCTGATTCTTGGAGGCCTCACGTAGTGCGTCTCACGGCAGTACATCATTTTACACCCCCACCAGCGGCGCACATGGGTTCCATTTTCTCCACCCTTTGCCAACACTTGTTCTTTCTGTTTTGTTAGCAGCGGCCATCCTAACGCCAGGAGTGGTACCCCGCTGTGGTTAAAAGTCTCCTTGTGGCGTTGTAACTTTTCCTGGATTAAAAAGGAACATAGGTGGTTTTCTTGAGAAACTATGGGGAGTATGAACACTAATAAAAATTGTCTTCCCAGAATTGCTTTTAAGCTGGATATAATAGTACATGCCTGTACTAGCTCAGAATTTGGAGGGTGAAGGCAAGAGGATCACAAGTTCAAGACCAGTCTCAGCTATATACCAAGTTCAAGGCCAGACTGGGTTACTTAAAAGAGAGAACTGTCATTGACATTTGAGATGATGGAAACTCTTTTCGGTTCTTTTTTCTCTCCCTCTATTACTCCTTTTACATAGCAGAAACCAAGCCATGCGGACCGAATTTTATCTTCATTTTTTACTTAGTCTCATATCAGAGCCTGACACTTTATGACAAAATTGATGCCGCTCAATTGTATTGTGCACACATTTTCTCAGCAAAGTACTGAAAACTGGCCTCTCATCGGCCACACCTAAAGGCAGTCTGCTGGACCTTGCTGTAGAGGTCAGGTCCTGTTGTGAGTGGGTCAGGCACATTATTCTGCTCCCTGGAAACAGAGGCCCCCTTCCTGCTGGAAACAGCCTACCCTTCTGGGCCAGCTGCTATTCTAAGTGTTCACATCTATGAAATCACAAAACCTTCCTCACTACTCTACCAAGAATGCCCTTGTTATCCCATTTGACAGAGAAAGAAACTGAGGTCGAAGGCGCTTTAATGTTTGTATAAGATTGGACAGAGTAGGTGGCTGTCTTAGTTTGCCTTCTATCGCTGTGATAAAGACCATGGCCAAAATCAGCTTGCGGAGGAAAGGGTTGGTTTGGCTTACGTTTTCCCATCCCAGTCTATCATTGAGAGAAGTCAGGGCAGGAACTCAAGCAGGAACCTGGAGGCAGGAACTGAAGCAGAAACTACAGAGGAATGCTGCTTACTGGCTTGCTCCCCAAGGCTCACTCAGCCTGCCTTCTTCTACACCCCAGGACCACCTGCTCAAGGGTGCCACCACCCACAATGGGCTGGGCCCTCCCACATCAATCATCAATCAAGGAAGCGCCCGACAGAGTTTCCTGTAGCCTCATCTGATGGAGGCATGTTCTCCACTGAGGTTCCTCTTCCCAGTGGCAGAGCTTGACGGAAGACTCTCATCATGCAGAATGCGTTGGTTGGTCCTCTGAGAGGTCTGCCTGGAGACAGAAATCAGCTTCATTGTTCACAACTGGACACTGAGACTGAAGTGTCATGCAAGGCCTGGCTGGCAACATCCTTGCCACATACAAAGAGCGTTACTAGTATAGTTTCAGACACAGTTCCAGGTCTTGGCTTCCTGAGAGGTCAAAATCATCTACAGTGGCGGTCCCTTTGCTTGCTCTCTGTTGATCCAGGGTGGGAGTCTAACTCCTGTGCACAGCCTTCCTTTCAGGCCAGGGTAGCCCGAGAGTTTCTTTCTAGGGCAGTTGTGGGCTGAGGATCTCAGACTGGAGCCTTTGCAAAGTTCGGAGAGGCTGATCTCGAACCACACAACCTGCTGGGCGGCCTGTCTGTACTCGAGGCTGCTGCTGCTTTCATGGCTCTCTGTAACTGGGAGCCCGGGGCAGGCTGTTTGTGCAGCTGCAGGCTGCGGCCAGGGTCACCCCTCTGGGAGGTGCCTGTTGAGAAGGAGTCGAGAGGGGCAGCCGCCATCCGCTGGAGGGTGGCTGCGTGACAGTCCCTTTCTCACCTCTGCTTTCAGGATGTGGGGCAATCAGATTGGGGATGAAGGGGCCAAGGCCTTCGCAGAGGCATTGAGGGACCACCGCAGCCTGACCAACCTCAGGTAACGTGCCTTCTGAGATGTGGGCTCCAGGGGCCCAGGGAGGGGTTCTTGGGAGGGGGTGGCTGGCTTTCCTACTGGGCAAGATTGATTGGCACGTGGCTTCTCTTGCTGAAGTTTTTCTCAGTGGGTGTGAGGCATGCAGTGAGGTGCTTAGCTCAGTGAACGCCAGGGAGACCTGGGACACTTGCAGTCCCTCAGCTGTCTTGACGGGCACCCTCAGAGATGGGGCTGGGAGCAATTTTCAAGCCCAGATAAAACCAAAGGGACACTAGCCTGCAGGTTGCCGCCCCTTCCCCTTTCTCAGATAATGAACAGCCTCCCGTTAGCACCCTGGCCTGATTCCAGCACCTTGGAGTCTTAGAGCCTTGTCGGCTCTGCCATGGAAGGGGGCCCAGGACTTTGCCGAAGAGACTTTCCCAGGTCTTGTCATGGGCCTCTGAAACTCTCAGATGACCTGAGCTGCCTGATGAATGCCCTCATAGAAGCCTGGCACAGTCCACTTTGGGAGCACCAGGATTCCTTGGCCTTCAGCTCAGAGGCAAACCCCTGAGTCCTGCCTTTGCTTTTTCACCTGGTCTCTCCAGAAGCAGCCGTAAGCCCGCCCTTACACGCTCAGGCAGCAAAGCCCGGGCACCTGCTGATGGGCCACGCACGCTGCTTCCTGCCTGGGTCTGTGTCCAGACAGAAACGTCCCAATGACTGAGTGTTGAAGATAAGGCCAACTGTGGCTGTGTCTGTAATAATCCATCCCCTGTGTTTCTCCTCCTAGTCTTGCATCCAATGACATCTCTCCTGAGGGAGGGAAGAGCCTCGCACAGGCCCTGAAGCAGAACAACTCTCTGTCAATATTCTGGTAACATTTTGAGTCATTTCCAAGGGTTGGGTCTGGTCGTTATTCCCTAGGTTATGGAATCTAAACTGAAAAGCACTTCTCCATTATAAAGGAGAATGACATTTCCCCCAGCCATTCCCACAAACCCAGGAATAACACACGGACGAAGTGGGCTTTGTCACCCTCAGCTTCTGTGAAGGTGCCAGAAGTCCCCTCAAAACACTCCCACCCAGGCCCAGCTTTCATGCACCTCGTCCAAAATACCCACTTCACCTCTTGCGCTGCCAGTCATTCATGCAACTGCCTCTGTCCATGTGCATGCATCACGATTTGGCTTCTGTGCCCCAGATGGCCTGTCACTAGAAACCTGGAATCCTTATACTTAGTAGGTGGACATTGGCACCATGGTGCTTTTGGTCATTCCCCCCACCCCCTTTCTAGTAGGTCGTTTAATCCTTTGTTTTTCCTTATCTTTATTTGTGAGCAAGTTCCAATGTCATCCTCTTGCCTCCCAGTGCTCATCAGATCTCGCTAACCTATCAGTTACTTATCTTGTTGCCATGACAATCTACCTGATGAAAGTAACTCATGGAGAGAAAGATTTACTCTGACTCGTGGTTTAAAGCTACCATCCATCCCGACAGGGAAGGCAGGGCAGCAGGAACATGAAACAGCTGTTCACACCACACTGTTGGGAAGCAGAGAGAGGAATACTGATAACCCGTTGGCTTTCTCCTTCTGATTGACTGTGGTGCTTTGCACCCATGGGATGACACCATCCACATCTACCTCAGTTAACCCCATCTAGAAACTCCCCATGACATGCTGAGGTTTTATGTCCTCAGTGCCTCTAGATCCTGGCAAGTTGACCATCAATAGAAACCATTAGACATAGTTACTGAAAATCCCATGTTCTGCCCCAGGTGTAGTGGAGAACACATGTAGCCCCAGCATTCAAAAGGCTAACACTGGAGGGTTGCAAGTTTAACACCAGCCTGGCCTTTGTAGCGAGAGCCTGATTCGAACAATAATGACAAAAATTAGGAGAAGAAAGTACTTCTCATGGTTTTCAAATACTCTTGTTCCTTCCCAGTCTTTTTGTATATTCAAATGTATATAAAGTAGAGTAGCAGTTTGGCTATTATACCTCTCCACTCTACATTGCATATTGGACATGTCCGTGCTTGTCAGGATCTCTCACCTCCACATTGCTGATGGTTTGGCTGTTGCTTGGGGCTGGCCAGGGCATTGGATGGTGTATAGAAGCATTCCTGGCCTCTACCTGTCAGATGCCAGGAGCACTCAAATTATGATGGTCAAAAATTGTCTCCCTCCAGGCACTGTTCAGTGTCCATGGACAGCGAAACCAGCCTGGTTGAGAGCCACTGCTCTGCATGGACAAGAATGCAAAGTTCTTACTGTAGTGCCATTGGTCCTTCTGCACCTTTCACACATGTGGACTCGTTCCATGGCAAGTTGGTGTCCAGAGCACCCTCACAACTGCCTCCTTCTTTATTCTCTCTTATTGTCTCTAAGGCACAATCCACCTTTGAATGGATGCTTACTATCTTACCAGTTTCTTCTTTTTGACAGGTACCTAAAACAGTTCTCCTTTTGCATCAGGAGCACAATACCCCAGTGTGTGTTTACAAGGCCTACACCCTTGTTACACATCTTCTTCCTTTTCAGCACTGAGGTTCAAAGTCAGGGGCTTTGGGAATGTTGGGCTAGTGCTCTGACACTGTGCTACATTCACGAGCCCTGAAATTCTTTATTAAGTTTTGAAATAGAGCCTCATTAAGTTACCCGGGCTGGCCTCAAACTCACAATCCTCCTGCCTCTGCCTCTGAGAAGCTGGGGTTACAGAGGCCACTTTTCTTAGCTTTGATGAACATTTTGCAACGTCAGGGTGAGTTTCTAGTCTGACCACTTTTATCTGAAAGTGAAATACATTTAAGATCGGGGTAGATGTGGACCAAACTGCCCTGCAAAGAACGATCTTTTAAATGGTGCTAACTCTACCTCAGTCTTCGTATTCTTTTACCCACTGGAACAAGGAGGGTCCTCTGTTGGGGACATCTGGGAGCTTCGGCGCTTTGTTCCATCAGCTGCTGAGTTTAGAGCAATCGAGAGGCTCCTTGAGTTTGTTACCAATTCCTGTCCTTCACAGTAGCTTCAGAGAACAGCTGAGCGCGGTTCACCAGGCAGGGCTTTTCCAGGGCTCCATCCTGATCTGGGCAGTGTGCTGCCAGTGACCTTCAGAAGTCTAGGGGGGCTGGACGCTGACCCAGAGGCTGACATGGAGGCACTGGCTCCCTGTATTGTAGGGTATTTCACGTCTGTAAAATCCAAGGGTGCTGTCTGGGTAGGGAACTACCTCGAAGGAAGGAGGGCAGGAAACAGAGCTCAGGGAAGGACTGACTGGAAGCTAGTGTCCTTGTATGAGTTTACACGCCATGATGCAGGGTTTCAATGTAGATGGGGAGCCTGGCCCTCAGCATGTGATGCCGGGCAGGAGGGAAGGCCCCAGAATGGCCTCTGTGAACTCATAAACAACATCTGTCCCATCAGCACTGCTGACGCAACAACTCTTTTCTTCTAGGCTGACAAAAAATGAACTTAATGATGAGGCAGCAGAGTGCTTCGCGGAGATGCTGAAAGTCAACCAGACGCTGAAGCATTTATGGTAACTCATGGGGCCTGGGGCCTGGACTCTGTTGTCTGCGCATGGTCTGTGATAAAATCTATATACCACAGCACTCAACCTTTGAAAGTTTAGAGGGTTTTGGTTTTTTTGTTTTATTTTGTTTGTTTTCTTTTTTGTTTTTCTGTTTTGTTGCTGGGTGGTGTTGGTGCACGCCTTTTATTCTAGCACTTGGGAGGGGCAGAGGCAGGTGGATCTCTGTGAGTTCAAGGCCAGCCTGGTCTACAGGGTAAGTTCCAGGACAGCCAGGGCTACATAGAGAAACCTTGTCTCAAAAAGCCAGAAAAGAAAATTTAGCCCAATCCTTTTGGGCTGGGGATCCCTGCTATGAAGGACAGAGGAGAGAGAGAGAGAGAGAGAGAGAGAGAGAGAGAGAGAGAGAGAGAGAAGAGAGAGAGAAGAGAGAGAAGAGAGAGAAGAGAGAGAGAGAGAGAGAGAGAGAGAGAGAGAGAGAGAGAGAGAGAGAGAGAAAGGAGAGAGAGAGAGAGAGAGGAGGGGGATTCGTTTACAATTATGCTATGTATGAGTCTAGCTATATCACAATCACTGTATAAAAACGTTGAAGATTTTCAGGGCTCTTCATTGTTCTCTGGTGAGGCACTGCTAGTCCAGTGAGGAAGTATGGGGATCCTGTCACCACCTAACCCTGACCCCATAGATTCCGGATTGGACCCAGCCTTCTGTGTTCATACATGTGTACTCTCCTTTCAGGCTTATTCAGAATCATATTACAGCCAAGGGGACAGCCCAACTGGCTGAGGCATTGCAGAAGAACACCACCATAACAGAGATCTGGTAAGGCCATGTGCATAACACCATATATAACCACCACATATCACCACCATAACAGAGATCTGGTAAGGCCATGTGCATAACACCATATATAACCATCACATATCACCACCATAACAGAGATCTGGTAAGGCCATGTGCATAACACCATATATAACCACCACATATCACCACCATAACAGAGATCTGGTAAGGCCATGTGCATAACACCATATATAACCACCACATATCACCACCATAACAGAGATCTGGTAAGGACATGCTCTTGTCACAGCACCCAGTTCCATGGTCTCTGGGTAAGTGCCACTGACCACTTTATGGGGTCACGGGAGTCCCATCCCACTTCCTTCTTGCCTGTGAGGACAATGTGGGGAGGGGGCCGCAGCTCTTTAAAGCTCTTGTGTGCCTGATCCGGAAAACAGCCGCCCTGAGTACTCCCAAGCGCTGTGGAAGTGTAACTGGCTGCTGCTGAGAATCCAGTGGTGAACGCGTGTGAACCGCCCTCAAGGGCTCAGTCTGAGGTCAGGGTGGAGCACAGAGCAGGAAAGAGTCAAGGGTAACCACGAAGGCTGCAGGATCGGGCAAGGCCA